ACCCATATTGCTTCTAACTTCCTTCTCTAACAAACCAATGTTGTAAGAAACATCACAGGGTCTTCGACCTTTCTCCATCACACACTTTTAGACAAGGTAGATGATTATCTTGGGGAAAATGAAGGCACAGGCCAAAGTGACTGGACAGGGAATCACACAACCACACTATGAAAGCCAATGGATTAGTTTCCTGTGGCTCCTTAGTAAGTTATCACAAATTTGGTGGCCTAAAACAGTATAAATTTATTCTTTTATAGTTCTGGAGGTCAGAAACCCAAATTCAGTATCACTAGGCTGAAATCAAAATATTGTCAGGGCCACACTCCCTCCGGAGATTCTAGGAGACAATCTGTTCCTTGTCTCTTTCAGGCTGCTGACATTCCTTCGCTTGTGGCCACATCACTCCAACCTGCAAGGCCGGCTTCTTCAAATCTCTCTTTGTTTCATCTTCATGTCACCTTCTAATATGTATGCATATGTGTGTAAAATATCACTCTGCCTCTCTCAAATTGGCACACCATGATGCCATTTAGGGCCTTCCTGAAGAATCCAGGACAATCTCCTCATTTCAAGATCATCCATTTATTCATATCTGCAAAGACTATATTTCCAACTAAGTTAATGTTCACAAATCTCAGGAATTAGGATCTAATATTTTTGGAGACGGATTTTTCAGTCTACTACAGCAACAATCTAAAAACTTCTTCTGAAACTAAATTATTGGAACACAGGGACCAAGGGTTTAAAATAAGCATAATAAATTTATTTAATAGATATTAGAATTTCTTAGAAATGTGAAGCAAGAGCAAGAAAGCATAAAAAAACAACCAAAGAGAATATTGGATAGAAAATACAATTGCTGGGAAAAGAATACAACATAGGGAGTAAATTACAGAATGGATGCAGCTGAAGAAAGATTGAGGAAATATTTTAGAAGACAGCAGAAAAGACAAAGATTAGCCCTGGTGCAATGGTGCATGCCTGTACTCCCAGCTATTTGGGAGGCTGAGGTGGGATGATCACTTGAGCCTGGGAGGTGGATGTTCCAGTGAGCCCTGATTGTACCACTGCACTCCAGCCTGGGCAACAGTGAGATCCTGTTTCAAAAACACAAAACAAAAAGAGAAAAAAAGAAAGATGAAGAGAAAATATAACAGAAAAGCTTATGGATATGAAAGATAAAATGTGAGTGCCAGCATCTGAGTGACATAAAAGAGGAATTATTGAAAGAACTAGTGAAGATAAATTTCCCAGATCAAAAGGCACTTTTGATGCTGAGGTGGAAAAAGTAAGAATTAATATTAGGGGAACGATCCAAGATGGCTGATCGCTAACATCTCGGGATTGCAGCTCTCAGTGAAAGCACAGAGAACTAGAGGTCGCCACACTTTCAGACAAATTCTGGTGGCTCATGGAGCAGAAGATCCCCAGTGGAGGAGTCACATGGGTCGCCAGCACGACTCTTGTGGCTGGCGCAGCAGTTTCGCCGGCACCTTGGCACGGCAGCTCTCAGAGCAGAGTAAACAGGGCTGGCTCCCCTTCTGACCGAGGTTTGGAGGACCCACACGGGTCCCCAGCACGACTCCTGAGGCCGGTGCAGCGGCTGTGACGGCACCTCAGCGCGGCAGCTTTCGGCGCACAGTAAATGAGACTGGTTTCCCTTCTGACCAAGGTTTGGAGCCCCAGGAAGGCAGAGTCACCTATTATGGACACAAGAAGGAAGCCAGACAGGAGAATCCTGGGCAGAAAAGCACCATCAGTCTTAACGCCGCTGTTCTGGCCCTGGGAACTAACAACCTGGACGTCCACTCAAGAGACCTAATCTGAAAGTTGGTAATTTCAAAGACGACACGAGGATAAATTTACAATGATGGGAAGAAACCAGCGTAAAAAGTCTGAGAATACTCAAAATCAGAACGCTTCTCCCTCTAAAGATGATCACAGTTCCACATCAACAATGGAACAAGGCTTGATGGAGAACGAGCGCATCCCAATAACAGAATCACACTTCGGGGAATGGATAATAAGAAACTTCTGTGAGTTAAAAGAATATGTTGTAGCCCAATGTAAAGAAACTAAGAACTTTGAAAAAAGGTTTGATGAAATCCTATTGAGAATAGACAACTTAGAGAGAAATATAAGAAGTGAATTAATGGAACTGAAGAATACAATACAGGAACTCCGAGAAGTATGCACAGGTTTAAATACTCGAATTGTTCAAGCAGAAGAAAGGATATCAGAGGTCAAAGTCCCACTTAATGAAATAAAACGTGAAGAAAAGATTAGAGAAAAAAGGAATGAGCAAAGTCTCCAAGAAATGTGGGTCTAGTGAAAAGACCAAATTTGCATTTGATAGGTGTACCTGAATGCGACGGAGAGAATGAATCCAAGCTGGAAAATACCCTTCAGGATATTATTCAGGAAAATTTTCCCGAACTAGCAAAGCAGGTCAATATTCAACCCCAGGTAATACAGAGAATACCACAAAGATATTCCTCAAGAAGAACAACCCCAAGGCACATAATCGTTAGATTCACCAGGGTTGAAACGAAGGAGAAAATACTAAGGGCAGCCAGAGAGAAAGGTCAGGTTACCTACAAAGGCAAGCCTATCAGACTTACAGCAGATCTCTCAGCAGAAACTCTACAGGCCAGAAGAGAGTGGGGGCCAATATTCAACATCCTCAAAGAACAGAACCTTCAGCCCAGAATTTCATATCCAGCCAAACTAAGCTTCACAACTGAAGGAAAAATTAAATCTTTTATGAACAAGCAAGTACTCAGAGATTTTATTACCACCAGGCCTGCTTTACAAGAGCTTCTGAAAGAAGCATTACACACAGAAAGAAACAACCAATATTAGCCTTTCTAAAAATATACCAAAAAGTAAAGAGCACAAACATAAAGAGGAATTTACATCAACGAATGGATCAAACAGCCAGTTAACATCAAATGGCAGTAACCCTAAATTTAAATTGACTAAATCCCCCAATCAAAAGACACAGCCAAAACCCAACGGCATGTTATATCCAGACCTGTTTCACATGCAAGGATACACAAAGACTCAAAACAAAGGGATGGAGAAAGATTTACCAACCAAATGGAGAGCAACAATAAATAAATAAATAAATAAATAAAAAGCAGGAGTTGCAATTCTCATATTGGATAAAATAGATTTTAAAGCAACAAAGATATAGTGGTAAAAGGATCAATGCAACAACAAGAGCTAACGATCCTAACACCCAGATACATAGAGACTTAGATTCAATGAGACAGAAAATTAATAAGGATATCAAGGACTCGAACTCAGATCTGGAACAAGTAAACTTAATAAATATTTATAGAGCTCTCCACATCAAATACACAAAATATACATTCTTGTCAATACCACATCACATCTACTCAAAGGTTTAAATGAAACATTGATTGGCCATTATTAATACCCATTTTTTTCAGAATAAAGCAATATTTCTGTTCACCCTCCCTCTTTCTCTTCCTCTTTCTTCCTCTCCTTTACTCATTTTTTTTCTTTCCTTCTCTCAAAAAAAAATAAAAAAAAAAAAAAAAAGAAATCAACTTGTAAACCTCTAGATCCAGGTCTGCTATGTCTCTCTCATTGCTTGATTTCCTTCCTTCCCTTCCCTTCCCTTCCCCTCCCTCCCTCCCTCTCCTTTCCTCCCTTGCTTCCTTCCTTCATCCCTTCGTCATCCCTCCCTTCCTTCTTCCCCTTCCTGCCTTCCTCCCTTCCTCCCCCCCCCAAAAAAAGGAAAAAAAAAGAATTAATATTAGAATAGGGTTTCAAAATGTTAAAAAAACAAAAAAACAACAACAACTAGGCTCATTTTTATAATCCCAGAACTTTGAGAGTCAGAGACAGGCAGATCACCTGAGCTCAGGAGTTCTACAGCAGCCTAGGCAACATGGAGATGCCTCATCTCTAGTAAAAATACAAATAAAAATTAGCCGGGCATCCTGGGTGCTAGCCTGTAGTCCCAACTACTCAGGAAGCTGAAGTGGGAGGACTTCTTGAGCCCAGGAGGCAGAGGTTGCAGTGAACTGAGATCATTGAGATTGTGCCACTGCACTGCAGCCTGGGTAATGAAACAAGACCCTGTCTTAAGGAAAAACAAAGAAACAAATAAGGAAACAAAAAGAAAACTCTAAAAGTATCTGGGAATAATATCTTTTAGAGATAACCTTCAAAAGAACAAGAATCAAAAAAGCAGGCTGGGCATCGTGGCTCATGCCTGTAATCAGCACTTTGGGAGGCCGAGGCAGGTGGATCACCTGAGGTCAGGAGTTTGAGACCAGCCTGGCCAACATGGTGAAACCCCGCCTCCACTAAAAATACAAAAAATTAGCTGGGCATGGTCGCAGATGCCTGTAATTCCAGCTACTTGGGAGGCTGAGGCAGGAGAATCCCTTGAACCAGGGAGGCAGAGGTTACAGTGAGATTGTGCCATACTCTAGCCTGGGCGACAAGAGTGAAACTCCGTTTCAAAAAAAAAGCAATACAGGATGCAAGAAGTTAATAGAATTATATATTTTAAATATTAAAGGAAAAGAGCTTTGAAGCTAACATTTTATACCAGCCAAACTCTCAAAACTCAAGGGTGTGAAAGGTTTACAGAGCCACAGAAGGTTTTTCCACACAGAGACTAATACTGAAAGCTCTCTTCAAAAGGAGGTGAGGGGAGCCGGAGACAAGACCAGAGGCGGAACTCGGGTTCTGATGGGATGACTGGGCTGCCCCACAGGATCATCAGGGAAACTCAGCATTTGCTGGCAGAACCAGTTCCTGGCATCAAAGCAGAACCAGATAAGAGCAACGCCCGTTATTTTCATGTGGTCGTTGCTGGCCCTCAGGATTCCCACTTTGAGGGAGGGACTTTTAAACTTGAACTATTCCTTCCAGAAGAAGATCCAATGGCAGCCCCTAAAGTACGTTTCATGACCAAAATTTATTATCCTAATGTAGACAAGTTGGAAAGAATATGTTCAGATATTTTGAAAGATGAGTGGTCCCCAGCACTACAGATCCGCACAGTTCTGCTATCGATCCAGGCCTTGTTAAATGCTCCTAATCCAGATGATCCATTAGCAAATGCTGTAGTGGAGCCGTGGAATACCAGCAAAGCCCAAGTCACAGAAACAGCTGGAGCATGGACTAGGCTATATGCCATGAATAACATTTAAATTGATCTGATCATCAAGCATGCATCACTTCTGTTCTGCCAAGACTTCTTTGTTTTTATTTGCATTTAATGGACACAGTCTTAGAAACATTAGAGAATAAAAAAGCCCCGACATCATCAGTCCTTTGGTGATTAAATGTCTTGTTCTGATTCACTGTCGTAAAGCATGAGCTGAGGCTAGAAGTATCATCTGGATTGCTGTGAAACGTTTAAAAGCAGCAGCCCCTCCCTGCTTTTACTCATTTTCCCCATCCTGGTTTAAGTATAAAGCACTGTGAATGAAGGCAGTTGTCAGGTTAGCTGCAGGGGTGTGGGTATTTTTCTTTATTTTATTTTATTTTGAGGGCACAGGTAGTTTTATTTTAATTTTATGACCTCCTTTCCCCTCTTTTATGGTGATCTAATTGTGTTGGTTAAAAGCAGCTAACCAGTTCTTTAGAATATGCTATCTAGCAAAGTCTCACTTTATTTAGACGCTGTAGATGGACAATCTCGATTGTTTGAACCAAAATGGGAACATTAAACAAACATCACAGTGTCACTAATAACATTGTGACTTTGCTGTCAAGTGTAGATTCCCCAATTCAGAAAAAGTTTGTGACCATTTTGTGTGGCTTGTCTGGAAACTTCTGTAATCATATGTGTTAGTACAATATTTTGTGTTGTTCTGATCTGTCTTTGTACAGTTTATTTTACTGTGTTTATTTCATTTTCCCAATGTGATAATCGTATTTTAAAATTAAAACTGATGGAACATTCTGTCCTGGTCTTGACCACGTGACAAATTGAATGGCAAGAGGTGGATTTTGCCAGTTTCTTTTCACTGATGCAGCTTTGTGTTAAGATAGTATTGAACAGAGTATTTATAAACTGGCCCTGAGCATGCATAAAGCATCAGTATCCTACCTTTTTTTAACCTCCAGGGAATTTGAAATAAATGTGTTTGTGTTGTCTGATTAGGCGATCATTGGTGTCTTGCCACAGTGCTTAAATATTACTGTACAGGAAAGTCACAGCAAAGAAAGCGGGTGTAAATGACATGTAGGATTCTCACAGTTGTGCCACATTTTTGCCTAAAATTTGGGTTGTGATCTTTTTCTTCGTTCTTGTCTGAAAATTTCATCTGTAACCACTGGTGTGTTATTAAGAAACACTGATCTGATCATGATTTGGGATTTGCTGAGGCATTTGTGAGTCTTCCTTATAAGCCTACCGATCTCAACATCCAGCTTCTGTGTCATCAGAAAGGTTTATGCCTTTGAGAGCATCAAATCCTCAATGATTCTTGCTTTCATTTCTCTAGTATTTGCTACGGGAGCTCCTTTTACTCTTTAATTTGAAATTCAGTAATTTTTTTCTTCAGTGACCGAGTTCCTCCCCTCACAAAACTGTTCTTTAAGTTGTAAATGTAGCCAGTCATAAATACATAAATGTTAACCTTCGGGTTGGAAACTTGTCTCTTGCAGTTTAAGGTAATGGATATTGTAGCCCATCTGAATTTTCTTCACTCTCATTCTCGTAATTCTGGAGTTTCTTCAGATTGCGGTGTATTTTATTGTGCTCCTATGTAAGATGAAGAATTAACTATTAAAATTACATTTTCAACATTAAAAAATTACTTAATTTTCCAAAAATATTTTTACATCAATATTGATAATTTGCAAAAAGCTACAAAAATCATATTTACCAGGACACATGTGTTAAAGCATTGTTTCCTGTTATGTGCCTATCTACATGTAGGGCTATGTACAGGACCTGTTTCCTCTCCCTGCGGTAGCTGCCGGCACACGCTACCCGACAAACGCCAAACGCACGGACACGCAGCTTTCTAGAGACGCACGAAGCCCGGGGCGCGCGCTCACACTCCGAAGGCTCAGCCCTGCACCACGAGCTGCCGCGTGGTCCCCACGGAGGTGGCGCCGAAGGTATGGCGCCTCTGCCCACTGCGTTCCGATGCTGGTCGTCCCTATAGAAACCCTTCGTCGATGGCCCAGGTTTAAAAGGCTTTTCCTCCGAGCCTGAGTTCCTCCAGCCTTCCCGCTGGGCCAGGGTCCCGCGTCCTTCCTCGCCGGCGAGCCTGGGCCTCCCTGGAGACGGAGGGTGGCCCTGCAGAGGCAGTGCCAGGTGCGGACTGGAGAGGCGGACTGTGCGGGAGACACTCTTTGCAAAGTGGAAGCGCTGCGTGGGCAGCAGCGGGGGCGGGGCCCAAGGACCCTTAGCCTCTGTCGCTCCCGAGATCCCCGCCCCGCGCCGCGTCCTCCGAGCTCAGCGCCCTTGGGCTCCGCAGCCGGCTCCGCTAGGCGCAGTGGCTCCCCGGTAGGGCCCCGTCGGCCTGAGCGCCAGAACCCCCTCAGCTCCAGGGTTGGGGCTGGAAAGCGCAGGCTCCCGCAGGCCCTGGGAAAGCTTCCCCGCGCCTGCCGCCTCAGTGCGCGCTGTGGCACAGCCGGACTGCTGGCCAGAAGCGTCTTTGGCGGCCGGCTGGACTCCTCGCGGGCCCTGGCGGAGACTCTGCCGCCGGTGCTCCCCGGCTGCGCTCACGCTCCCACTCGGTCCGCGCCCGGATCCCGGGCTCCGCGCGCACACCACTCCTTGGCCTTTTCTGCCAAAATCTCCTAATCTCTAGTTCGATGCTGTCGTCGCGGTCCCCGGAACCACTGTCTTCAGACTGGCAGCCGGGGCTAGGAGCTGGGTGCGTTGCTCACGGGGCGGACCGCCTTACGAGGCGGAGGCGGTTCTCCTGAAGCTGAAGGCAGGGCTGCTTCCTCGCTCTCAGCGCCCCATTTTTGGAAAATAGGATTTTGTAGGGTGTTCCTAACTGCAGTCTTCTGCGTTCTGCATACAAGTCTTAGATCAGCAAACATTTGGTATCATCACAGCCAGGTTCAAAGACTCTGAGAGGATGTTTTCGGTTGACTGCTGGTGAAGAAGTCGGGTTGTGGCCGGAGGACAGAAGGCAGCAGCTGCCCACTCCGCGGATGCTCAGATGCCCGAAGGTGTCGGTCGGAAAGCTCCCAGGACAGCATTTTCTATACAAAAGGTCCCTCCCCACTACCCTGCTCCTTGGAGGCCAGAGCACATCTGAAAACTGCAGCCACAGCCATCTGTTGGAAAAACATTTGGAAGCACAAAGGCCAGCGAGCACACTGACCACTCCCTGTTGCAGGCGAAATCTGCGGATGTTTGCAGCTGAGCCCCGGGCCTGGGTGGGTTCATGTCCAATCTTGTTAAGTCACTAGATGACTCTAACATCTAAATAAACTTCTTTTTTTTTTTTTTTTTGAGACGGAGTCTCGCTTGTTGCCCAGCCTGGAGAGCAGTGCGCGATCTTCCTCCTCCCCGGTCCAAGCAATTCTCCCGCCCTCAGCCTCCGGAGTAGCTAGGAGTACAGGCGCCCACCACCAGGCCCGGCTAATTTTTGAACTTTTGTAGAGAAGAGGTTTCTCCATGTTAGCTAGGCTTGTCCTGAACTCCTGATCTACCCACCTCGGGTTCCCAAAGTGCTGGGATTATAGGCGTGAGCCACCCCGTACAGCAGTACACTTCTTTTTATATGGAGTTACTGTTCTTTTAAAATTATGTTTCTTTTTTTTTTTTTCTGTCTTGAACGAGTTATAGGTTCTAAAGGATAGTACAACGTGTGCATTTTAAATTTCCCTTTCTTAATTCACACACACCAATGAGCACTGCTTAGAGCTTTGGTCCCCAAACACCTTGGACACAGATGATGTGCAAAGGCCGGTACTGGGGACAAGCCTTCCCCATACCTGCCCTCCAGAAGCTGGGGCCCAGTCAGAGGTGGGCCGGAACAACAAGTCCAGCCCTTTGGACTGTTTCTGCAGGTCGCCTTCTGGGGCAGAATGCGCAGGGCCTGCCCCTGCACGCGGCGTGGCTCAAGGTGGTGGCCTCAGGTCCTTGGTGTTGACGCACTGCAATGCTGCCCTGGTATATTGTGCCTTCTGCTCTGAGGCCACCGCGGTGCCCGTGGCTCCTGTAGAGACAGAAGCAGTGCTGGGCACTGATGGGTCATGGCATTTACACTGTAATTGTCCAGCAAACTTTCATCAGTCCCCCAAGATTCACAACTCAACCTCATGGCTTAGTTGCGATGCGGGGTTTACTCTGCAGCTGAATCTTCTTGGTATTCTAACATGCAAGTGAATTGTCTACACACTGTGCACCCTGGGTTGAGCAGGAATTCACTTCTGTACCCAGTTTCGGGCATGTGCCACCTTCTACAGTCAGCATCTGTTGTGTCACAAGCTGTGATGAGGTTCCCTGTCGTCCCTATTCCTGTTCAGCCCCCTCTTATATGGTTGATATATTCATTGTGGAATAATGGTCACTTAAGTGCTTCTGGGAAAAACAAGTCCATATAATCCATGTTTTAACTTTTATTTACCTTTTTTTTGGGGGGGCGGAAGAAGGCAGGAAGGGAGGGAAGAAGGACGGTAGGGAGGAAGGAAGGGATGAAGGAAGGGAGGAAGGGAGGAAGCGGGGAGGGAGGGAGGGAAGGGAAGGAAGGAAATCAAGCAATGAGAGAGACATTGCCGACCTGGATCTAGAGGTTTACACGTTGATTTCTTTTTTTTTGAGAGAAGGAAAGAAAAAAAAATAAGTAAAGGAGAGGAAGAAAGAGGAGGAAAAAGAGGGAGAGTAAATGGAAATATTGCTTTATTTTGAAAAAAATTGGGTATTAATAATGGCCAATCAATGTTTCATTTAAACTTATGGGTAGGTGTGATGTGGTATTGACAAGAATGTATATTTTGTGTATTTGAAGTGGAGAGCTCTATAAATATTTATTAAGTTTACTTGTTCCGTATCTGAGTTCAAGTCCTTGATATCCTTATTAATTTTCTGTCTCATTGAATCTAAGTCTCCTATCTGGGTGTTAGGATCGTTAGCTCTTATTGTTGCATTGATCCTTTTATCACTATATCTTTGTTGCTTTAAAATCTATTTTATCCGATACAAGAATTGCAACTCCTGCTTTTTATTTATTTATTATTTATTGTTGCTCTCCATTTGGTTGGTAAATCTTTCTCCATCCCTTTGTTTTGAGTCTTTGTGTATCCTTGCATGTGAAACAAGTCTGGATGTAACATGCCGTTGGGTTTTGGCTGTGTCTTTTGATTGGGGGATTTAGTCAATTTAAATTTAGGGTTACTGCCATTTGATGTTGACTGGCTGTTTGATCCATTCGTTGGTGTAAATTCTTCTTTATGTTGGTGCTCTTTACTTTTTGGTATATTTTTAGAAAGGCTAATACTGGTTGTTTCTTTCTGTGTGTAGTGCTTCTTTCAGAAGCTCTTGTAAAGCAGGCCTGGTGATAATAAAATCTCTGAGTACTTGCTTGTTCATAAAAGATTTAATTTTTCCTTCAGTTGTGAAGCTTAGTTTGGCTGGATATGAAATTCTGGGCTGAAGGTTCTGTTCTTTGAGGATGTTGAATATTGGCCCCCACTCTCTTCTGGCCTGTAGAGTTTCTGCTGAGAGATCTGCTGTAAGTCTGATAGGCTTGCCTTTGTAGGTAACCTGACCTTTCTCTCTGGCTGCCCTTAGTATTTTCTCCTTCGTTTCAACCCTGGTGAATCTAACGATTATGTGCCTTGGGGTTGTTCTTCTTGAGGAATATCTTTGTGGTGTTCTCTGTATTACCTGGGGTTGAATATTGACCTGCTTTGCTAGTTTAGGAAAATTTTCCTGAATAATATCCTGAAGGGTATTTTCCAGCTTGGATTCATTCTCTCCGTCGCATTCAGGTACACCTATCAAACGTAAATTTGGTCTTTTCACATAGTCCCACATTTCTTGGAGACTTTGCTCATTCCTTTTTATCCTTTTTTATCTAATCTTTTCTTCACGTTTTATTTCATTAAGTTGGTCTTTGACCTCTGATATCCCTTCTTCTGCTTGAGCAATTCGAGTGTTTAAACCTGTGCATACTTCTCGGAGTTCCTGTATTGTATTCTTCAGTTCCATTAATTCACTCATACTCTTCTTTAAGTTGTCAATTCTCAATAGGATTTCATCAAACCTTTTTTCAAAGTTCCTAGTTTCTTTACGTTGGGCTACAACATGTTCTTTTAACTCACCGAAGTTTGTTATTATCCATTCCTTGAAGAGTGATTCTGTCATCAGGATGCGCTCGTTCTCCATCAAGCCTTGTTCCATTGTTGATGTGGAACTGTGATCATCTTCAGAGGGAGAGGCATTCTGACTTTGAGTATTCTCAGCTTTTTTACGCTGGTTTCTTCCCATCATTGTAAATTTATCCTCCTGTCGTCTTTGAAATTACCAACTTTCAGATTAGGTCTCTTGAGTGGACGTCCAGGTTGTTAGTTCCCAGGGCCAGAGCAGCGGCGTTAAAACTGATGGTGCTTTTCTGCCCAGGATTCTCCTGTCTGGCTTCCTTCTTGTGTCCGTAGTAGGCGACTCTGCCTTCCCAGGACTCCAAACCTCGGTCAGAAGGGGAACCGGTCCCGTTTACTCTGAGCCAGCGCTGCCGCATCGAGGTGCCATCACAGCTGCTGCGCCGGGCTCTGGTGTCCTGCTGGGGACCTGGGCAGGTCCTCTGAACCTGTTTACTCTGCTCTGAGAGCTGCCATGCCGAGGTGCCGGCGGAACCGCTGTGCCAGCCACGAGAGTCGCGCTGGCCACCCGTGTGTTTCCTCCACTGGGGGATCTTCTGCTCCGTGAGCGATCAGAATTTGTCTGAAAGTGTGGCGTCCTCTAGTTCTCCGCGCCTTCCCTGAGAGCTGCAATCTCGGGATGTTAGCGATCGGCCATCTTGGATCGTTCCTTATTTACATTTTTTAAAGAGTGCTTTTTTTTTTTGAGTCAGAGTCTCCCTCTGTTGCTCAGGCTGGAATGCAGTGATGTGATCTCCTCTCACTGCAACCTCCACCTCCCGGATTCAAGCAATTCTCTGCCTCAGCCTCCCGAGTAGCTGGGATTACAGGCGCCTGCCACCATGCCTGGCTGATTTTTTGGTATTTTTAGTAGAGACAGGGATTCACTGTGTTGACCAGGCTGGTCTTGAACTCCTGACCTCGTGATTCACTTGCTTGGGCCTCCTAAAGTGCTGGGATTACAGGCATGAGCCACTGTGTCTGGTCCTTTCTTAATTTTTTTTTTTTTTTTTTTTTTTGAGACAGTATCTGCTCTGTCTTCCCGATTGGAGTGCAGTGGTGTGATCACAGCTCACTGCAGCTTTGACTACCCAGGCTCAGGTGATCCTCCCACCGCTGCCTCCCAAGTAGCTGGGACTACAGGTGCATGCAAACAAGCCTGCATAATTTTGTAGAGACAAAATCTCCCCATATTGCCCAGCCTGGTCTGGAACTCCTGGGTTCAAGCAATCTGCCCTCAGCCTCCTAAAGTGCTGGGATTATAGATGTGACCCACCATGCCTGTCTAATATATTTTTATTTCTTAAAATAAGATATACAGGAATATGAAATAAGATAGCAGGAATATGAAAAAATGCTCCATATCATGAATCATGAGAAGATGCAAATCAAAATCACCATGAGATATCATCTTACCCCAGTTAAAATGGCTTTTATCAAAAAGCCTGGGCGGCATGGAGAAACCCTGTCTCTATACAAAATTAAAAAATTCGCCAGGCCTGGTGGTGTGTGCTTGTGGTCCCAGCTACTTGGGAGGCTGAGGCAGGAAGATCACTTGAGCCGGGGAGTTCAAGTGAACTGTGATCTAGTCAATGCACTCCAGGCAACAGAGCGAGACCTTGTCTCAAAAACAAAAGAAAACAAAACAAAACAGAAAGATAGATAGAAAATGGAAAAAACAAAAAACCACAAATCCTCTCAGCACTCTCAAATCCCCTTTCCCAGCTTTTTTCTTTTTGAACAAAGCACTATCTCTTAACATATTATGTAATTTACTTGTTTATTTTTTTTGAGACGGAGTTTAGCTCTTGTTACCCAGGCTGGAGTGCAATGGCGCGATCTCGGCTCACCGCAACCTCCGCCTCCTGGGTTCAGGCAATTCTCCTGCCTCAGCGTCCTGAGTAGCTGGGATTACAGGCACGCGCCACCATGCCCATCTGATTTTTTGTATCTTTAGTAGAGACGGAGTTTCACCATGTTGACCAGGATGGTCTTGATCTCTTGACCTCGTGATCCACCCGCCTCGGCCTCCCAAAGTGCTGGGATTACAGGCTTGAGCCACCGCGCCCGGCTTTATTTGCTTGTTTTCTGACTTCTGCAGTTAATATGCAAAGTCCTCGAGGGCAGGGATCTTCTGTTGTTCACTCATATATTGTGAATAATATCTCGCACAGAGTAGGCATTCAATGAATGAATGAAGGAAGAAAGGAAGCTCTACTTTTCTTATAAGTTATCGTCCAATTTTCCGCCTCATTGACATTTACCTTTTAATTATTGAGATGTCTCATCATCTTTATTTTCTGAACTTTGTGTTGAATTTGTTTGTTTGAGACAGGGACTCACTCTGCTGCCAAGGTTGGAGTGCAGTTGGTGGTTACCACTCACTGAAGCCTCATCTTCCCAGGCCCAAACAGTCCTCCCACCTCAGCCTCCCAAGTAGCTGGGACTACAGACATGCAGCACCACACCTGGCTAAATTTTTAAAAATTATTTTTTGCAGAGACAGGGGCACATTATGTTGCCCAGACTGATCTCAGACTTCTGGGCTCAATCCTCCCACCTTGGCCTCTCAAAGTGCTGGGATCATAGCCATGAGCCACCTCGCCTGGCCCTTGTGTTCAGTTTTTAATTTCTGCAATCATATTTTATTTCTAAAAGCTCTTTTTTTTTTGCTTTCTAAATGTTCATGTTTATAATCTGGTTTTTCTTCATGGAT